AGCCCGGGCGATCGGCATGTTGCGAAGGTGCTGCGGCGGCTCAACTGGACGCATTTCGCTTATCTGTTCTTTTTCTCGGGCATGGAGTACACGCTGACGTTCCTGACCCACGACAAGTTTGATTTCTCGAATGCCCAGCAGGGCAAGCTGCTTGGCTTCATCGGCATTGTGTCGACGGTGATCCAGGGCGGCTATGTGCGCAGAGTCAAGAGCAGGTCGGGAAGCCGCGACAAGGCTCTGGTTGCCCAGGGCATGGCTGGCTGCGCACTCGGCCTGCTTTCCATCGCCATCTGCGCTTTCAAGGCAGAGGCCACAGGCTACTCGGCACCCTCGTGGTGGCTGTGGGCTGGCTCGTTTGGCTTTGCGTTGCCTCGGCCACTGTTGTCAACTGCCTGAACTCGATGGTCTCGCTGGCAGGTAGCCAGGGCATGGCCCCCAAGGACACAGGCAAGCGGCTGGGCGATTTTCGGTCTGCGGGCCAGATTGGCCGGGCGCTGGGCCCAATGTTGCGTGCTCGGTCTACTGGCTCTCAGGCGCTGCCGTATGCTACCTCATTGGCGCCATCGCTGTCGCTGCCATCACCACAGTGTTTGTGTCAACCATCCCGTCAACAATCACCCGGGGTGCAGCCAAGGCTAAGACCAGCTAGCTCTTCAGAATGTTCATTACACGTACTCCAGACAACGGATAAAACTACAGCCATATCAATTCTTGCACTTGCAATCCCTGCCATCACAATATTGCTGGCTTTGTGCATGGAGCATGTATGTTTGCGAGCCAGGAGCTCGTATATGTGTGAGAGCCTCGCTGATGGCATTTTCACGCCAACATAAGAGCGATGCATATAGCCATTTGCTGCGGCGATGCCTGATCATTTATTCTGCTGAAGCTAGCTAGACCCGACCTGTTTGCTACTTGGCCTTGGATGCATATAGAGCACAGCTCACCTCACATGCGCCATGGCAATCGTCACAGTGTCTGGAGGACTCAAAAGCCGCCAGTGTTCGAAAGAACTGGACGTTTTATTTTGGGAATTGTGAGGCGCGTTCTATGTGGAAGAGGAGGGCAGAGGGGCTGGCGGCGGAGCATTTGCCACAGCCTGCTGTGCCTGCGGCTGGTGCGTAAACTGCAGTACCCGCTGCTGTGGCTGCGGGATCGGCCGACCCATGCCCTGCAATGGCGGTGCCTGGCCCACCATCCCGGACATGGCGGCAGCCGTTGGCTGTGGCGGTGGTGGCATCATTTGTGGCGGCATCGATCCCATTGGTGGGCGGAAGCCCGGTGGCCCATGTTGTGTGACCAGCGGCGCCTGGATTCCCTGCATCATAGCGCCAGGCGGAGGGCGGCATGCTGTGCTGCTGCTGCTGGTGGCCAGGCTGCACCGGCATCATAAACGGCTTTCCTGCCACCGCGTCGGACGCCGCTGATGGGCACACCGTTGGACGTGGGCGGAATAGCCGAGATTATCTCCTTCAGCTTCTCGCTCTGCACCCCATCGGGGAGCGCAAATACGATCGGCTGCGATGAAATGTTGGGTGTCCCGGGTGGTAAACTGTCAATCCCAAACACGCCGTTGGCCTGCGCGACCGCGCATTCCCGGTGTGCCTCCAGCAGCGTCTTAAATGTGCAGCGCCTTATCGCGCAGCTGCAGGTACTCGTTCTTCAGCCGCTCGTTCTCGTAGACCATGTAGTCGTGTCGCTGCTGCAGCTCGTTTAGCTGCTGCTTCTTGCGCTGCCGGCACTTTAGCGCCGCTATCCGGTTGCGCTCCAGGAACTGTTTGCGCTTCTCGTCCTCTCCGCCTTTAGGGTCCACACTCTCGCTTCTCCGCGATGCTTTCCCGTGCGCCGTCGCCACTGTCATCCGGCGCCCTCGCTGCCGACTCTTTTGCCGCCGGTCCCTTTGGCGGCACGGGAGCCTTGGCTCCCTTCCCGCGGCTGCGCTTGGCCGTTTTGGGTGGCGCCTTTGGTGCTGATGCTGCTGCTACTGCGGGTGCAGCCGCCGATTGAAGTATAGGATCCATGGGTCGTCGCTTGCTGGACGCAGCAGGCTTTGCCGTTGCAATATTCTTACTACTCAGTTCCATTGGAACATTAGCCGCTATCGGGGCAAGCCCCGGCGGCGGTGGCAACAGATTCCCGGCTGCTGCTCTGGGCTGTGGCTCTGGTATAGTCGACAGCGAGATTGCAGGCGGCGAGGGTGGTTTGATGGAAATTACGTCATGTTTAAATGTAGCCGGTGATGTCGCTGAGGTCACATTCACCTGCGTCTGCGATGCGCTCTGCAGATTCCTCCCTGCCGCCGCTATCATTGGTCCTGGGTGACCTTTGCAGCGCCGTAGCTGTGACTGACGCCGATATGTTTTGTAATGGCTTCACATGCAGCGTGCCGCCGGGCGTCGCTGTTATTTCGCTGCCACTGACCGCCCTCAGCAGCGCCTGGAACCCCGGCGACGGCTTTGATCCGTCGATGGTGCTGGTGCCCAGGATACTGCTGACCGTCGGGTGTGTCTCGCCCTGCAGGAACGGCGTCAGCCCCGTGTGCAGGGTGGGGTCCGTTAGGCCCAGCCGTGGTGTTATGCGTGCACGGCTTGTCTGTGCTGCGGGTCCGCCCAGCATTGCTGGAGATAAAGGCCCGCTGCGCAGCGAGTCCCGCCCCCATGCTGCCGATACGCCCTCATGGCCAAGCGGGCTGTTTATGGCAGTTACCGGCGGCAGCGTTATTGGCTTGGACGAATTGGCATTGCCAACCGAGCTCCGTCCTGACTGCGACTCGTCCGCATGCGCCAATGAGAAACTGCGCTCAAAGGGGTTTGGCTCCAAGGACAGCTTTGACGTCCTACGCTTATGCGTCTCCATTATTGAGAAATAGAACAAAATAGTACAGGAAATGGACTGAGCAAAAGGGCGAAAAAAAAACAAGGCCAAGTTGAGAAGAGTTCGTACCAGATTTTTTTATTTTATTTTCGCGCGCCCTTTTAGTCTGCAGAAAATTACATCATTTCTGTTGGTCTCGGACATCAGCTCCCCATTCGTCCAACAACTAAACCCCAGAAAAATCACGTGTGGGGAGGCTCGACTCGCTCAAGCCGCTCTGGCTCGTGCCTACGCCATGGAGCCGGGCTCGCATCCGCCGGATCCCAAGCGAAGCCGGCACGCAGGTGCAAGAGCCGCTGGTGCTATTCTTTACCAAACATAAACAGCTCCATCTCCTCCCCCGAATTCTGTGTGGCTGGTGTGTTTTTGTTCTCCACACCGCAGACATACATGTATTCGGCTTGTAGAATTTCCATTCAAGCTATCGCGAATATTATGCGGGATATCCTTGTTCTTGCTCCAAGAATGGGCTTTGCTATCAAGCACAAACGAGGCAGCCCGTAGCTTGCTAGCGTGTAGAACCCGCCATCCTCCGGTCGTTCTCCCTGCTTACTTCCGCACCATCCTTTCCACTACTTTCGACTTTTTGTAATGACAAGCCCACCACTTATGTCTCTCTGCACTTCATCTCGACTCTATTTAACGATACAATTCCTCTCTGCTACTGCCTATGCATCATCAGTTACATTCACGCTATGTGCTGGTATTCTGTTGACGCTGAGGCTGTTTGCGACAAAGAAGGGGGAAGAGAATATGGAATCTGGTGGTGGGCCCAGGTTTCCGAGATAGTAATCGCGCAAATCTTTGCGGCCCCAGGCATCCCTGGTACTCAGCGCTCACAGCCGGCTGCCTTTTTGCTGCTGGTGCAGCCGCTTTTGACAGCGCTTTATGCACAAAATTTTTTCATGCGCGGCTTATCCCCGCTTCTCCTTTCTTCTCCAGTGTTTGCAGCGTTTCATACTTATTTACTTCGTCTTGGTATTCCCTTTCTGTCTTCTATGAACACTAATAATGGCCTAGCGGGGCTGTCTGGGCGCGGTGGACAGCAGAAGCATGGCTCCAGCATACCGCCGGCGCGCCCTTATAGGCACAAGCGGGAGAGCAGCCTCAGCACCAGCGCCAGCGTCAGTAGCACGCGCACCCGTGTCCTGCCATTTGCCACAGCATTCACCACGCTGTATCCACTCAAGCCTGTCGCTGCCGCCTCACCCATATACGCGCAGGCCACGACCATGCAGCAGGACGCGCGCACGTCCGAGAGCACTGACGAAAGCAGTATCGTGGTGCCGGTGTATATGTCGCGCACAAAGGCATTGACGTTCCCCAACAACGACGCGACACTGCCCGATGACGATGATGCGAAGAACGTGTACTTTCCGGCCATGAATCACTCGGGGTTTGCGCTGGCTCAGCCGCGGAGGGTGGTGACGGTGGGTGGCATGCCTGTGGTGTCGGGCGGGTTTGGCAGGCCGACCTCAGCAAGCAAGGACCCATATACAAACGCGTCTGGGCTGACAATCCCGTCAAAGACCTCGCTGCTGCCGGTTGTAGGCGGACGCAGGGCGCTTGGCGTTGGTCGGCCGGCAATCGGCGTCGATACCCGCCGGCTGACCAGCACCAGCTCGATCGGCATTGGCACACGCACCAAGCCGATTATTGGGCTCGGCCTAACACTGAATCCAGATGACAATGTCGTGAAGCTGAACCTGAAGCGGTCTGTGTCGACCCAGCGAGGAGCCCAGGGCAGTGATGTTGGATCGTCATCTGGCCGCCGCAAGTCGGTGCTGGGCAAGGCAGCAGGCCGGCGGACAGGCACCCTGCAGGTCATGCCTCGCATTCCGTCTGGGTCAATCGCCAGAGCGCTGGCACCGTCTGTTGCACAGTCGCGGCCAGACAGCCCGGTCAGGGGAATGGTATCGGACGAGTTCACATTCAAGAGTCCGGTGCTCGAGCCTGAGGGCTTTGCCAGCATCCGGTCGCCAACGCTTGATGGCGAGGGCACGGTGGATAGTACGCCAAGTGTGCCCGACTCGGATGATCGCTGGAACACGACAATGGCAGTCCAGGAGCTGCGCAATCTTGTCGGCGATGGCACCGGTGCCTGGCACCTCTTGGTCCCCGGGCGCGCCACCGCAGATAGTCTCGTGCCAACTCTGCTTCGAGTCGGTGGCCGTGTCAAGCAAACGATGCCAGGCGTGTTGCCCCCAGCTGCAACAACCCGCTGCCGGCCGGACGCTTGGAATGGGGTAAGTAGATGAATTCCATGGCGTCCTTTTGTTGTTTGTTGTGATGTCTCCGGCTGCTCCATCTCCTCCCCTCTGCCTCTGCCTTCTTATGCAAGCCTCCAACTCCTATATGAAATGCGCTCTGACTGATATGTATAAAACTCAAATAACGATCTCCTCGTCTCTTTCTCTATCCGCCTTCCACACCTTTAGCGAGTCCATATACGCCCGCCGCCGCTCATGCTCATTCCCAACTGATTGTTAAGAGCAGACGTGCGTTCGCAGATTACCTACTCGCTGCCCCACCGCTCCCACACACCACATTTCGCATTTCACATTTCACGCCTCACGTTTTCTGTTTGATATTCATTTCGACATATACCTTCCCGCGTTATTTTTGCCATTAAAACCATCAACACCTGTTTTTCTAAGCTTCGCGACCTGCTAACACCACTTGCTGCGACCTGCAAGTGGCGCCCCTTTATAGAACGCAGGCCACTGTTGATCTGGCATTGTCGGACGTTTGTTTATTTTTGCCAGTTCCTGGAAGAACGGCTGCTGCCTTGAGCTCCCTTGGTGTGGTTCAGCCAGTATTCTACTGCTGCTCGTCCTTCGCCCTTCATTCCTCATTTTTGCTCAGCTTCTCATCGCATCCCCATCGTGCTTGTTGACCAAGCCGTATCCACATTCCCCTCCCTTCCCTCCCCACTTTCCCTCCTATTGTCACTACTATACACATCATTTTCAGTAATTCCTGTACAGAAACATGCCCCGTGTCTCTCGGCTGTTCCTGCTGCTGTGTCGGATGTGCTCCAACACCGACAGCCGCAGCGATGGCCACCAGCACACACCACTCGCAGATGCCGCTCCCGCAAGCCCTAGCACTGTCGATCCGCTGCTGCATGCGAGCCTCTCGCGCATCTGCCCGAGCCCTCCAGCAGCTGGCGGCACAGGGCGAAAAAACAACAAAAATCTCTCTCTGATGGCCCCGTATACCTTAGTCTTACTCACCCACCACTTTCTGTCCTCTCTCTGCCTTTTTTCTCCTCCCCACCGGTTTCCCCCAATTTGTCTGAAATGCGTCCATTTAAACACTCTGGCAAACAGCGATTTCGCCCACAGGTGTCGTCGGCCAACGCTGGCAGCGCGCATTCGAGCGGCACGTTCAATGGAGAGCAGGTGGCAGTGTCGCTAAAGCGCTTGGCAAAGGCTGGCTCGCTGCAGGAGGCGACAGTGGCGTCGCCGGCGTCAAATTACACGCTGACCGACGACCGAGCTGCAAATGAGCCAGGCAAACGCACTACACTCAAGCCGATTACAAAGCCCACCATTGTCCCCGACCCCACCGTAGTTACTGTTGCTACGGCCATGGTTGGCCCAGAGTCCACGTCTTTCTCGTTCTCGCCGCCAGCGCTCAGCCAGTCGCCGCCAACACAGGCCGCGCCCAGCGCATCGAGCCCTGAAATATACAGCCCAGCAACCCGGGCGTCGCAGATCGCCGAGAATATCGGCACAGTTATGCAGAGTGACCGGTGTTCAGTACACCCAGGCATGCGCAATGACTACTGGTGCGAGTCGTGCGAACTGGCTATTTGCGAACTCTGCATTGACACAAGCATTGATGTTCCCACAGGCACCGCCCACCACTCGCACGCCATCACCAAGCTGGCAGCTGCCTACGACGATACATTCGAGGCGATCGAGCTCATGCAAGTGAAGCTTGTAAATCATCTGAAGGATACGCGGCATCGAAACGCCCTGCTGGACTCGGCAGTTAGCGAGCTGGCCGACTCGTACTCGCAGGCCCAGGTGGCCATGGACGAGCAGCTGCTGCGCGATACCGAGCGAGTGGAGACCGCGTTCCGCGACGCGCAGTCGTCACTGGAGGAGCGGATTGCCGAGTGTGCTGCGTGGCGCGACGATCTAGACGAAACGCTGAAGATGGTGCAGATGATGGTCGAGGAGCTGTCTCCGGCGCAAACTGTTGCTGAGCGCGAGCAAATTCTCGAGCTGCTGTCGATATCCGAGCAGGCACGGCCGATTGACTGGGAAGAGCCGCTGCCCAAAGTAGCCCGGATCGAAGAGGAGGTGATGCCCGCCTGGCACTACGCCAGCGTTGAAGTGCCAGATGTCATGGAGCTCGGCCGCAAGCGCGGGCATGTGCGTGTAGTCAGCGATGCAATCTCAGCGCACGGTGTTGTCTGGCAGTTGGAGATTCGCCGCAGCCGCAGCCGCCTCGGTACGCAGTGCCTGTCGGTAGTGGTTAACCGCATTGATGGCTGCGAGAATATCGACGGCACGTTCACTGTCAGTGTTGGCTTAGCCAAAGTTTCTGACAGCGATTGCGAGTCGGAATCGTCGGCACTGTCGCGGTTCAGAAATGAGTCTTGCAATGTGTGGGGCCAGAGCTCATCATCACAAACTTTCAACATGTGCCCGCTCGAGGACCTGAAGGACTCGGATACACTTACGCAGTCGGGCAGCGTTTCTATCCGCTTTGGCGTGGCCCCCGAGTCATTCCGGTCCCTGGCAGCGGTCCAGGCAGACCGTATCCGTGTGCTTGAAGAGAAGCTGCGCGCAGCAGAGAATGGGAAAGGGGACATGGAGCAGGCGGCGCTCGAGCTAGTTGATGGATCAAGCGCTTCGAGTTTGCAGCAGCAGCGACAGATCCGTCGTCGCCGTAGTGATATCCGGTCGTGGGCTGCTTCGCCAAGAAACCCCAGGCGGTCCGAGGTGAAGCCCGATCAGATGCCGATTCCCGGCTTTACTTTTGGTGCTCGCCCTAGTGACATGCCGTCTGCTGTGCAATTGCCACCGGCACTGCTGTCCCCAATTTCGCATGCTGCTGCTGGATCGTCGTCGAATGTTTCTACGTCGTCAGAAGGACAGGCCCAGTATCAGGCGGAAGCCAGTTCTGAGAGCACAGAAAAATCCTCGCACCAGAGGTCGTTCTCGTTGACTGCCAAGCTTCGCCGTCAGCCGCCGGCTCCGTTCCCGTTAGTCCTGAAGGGGAACAGATCGTCTGGCCACACCCGCTCTCTGACATCCACGCCTAGCACCCAGTCGTCGGAGTCTTCGTCCCTGGCCTACGCCAGTGCGCCCTCAGGCTCAGCCAGCGTCTCAGTATCGCCCAATGACGACAAGGCTGGCGTTTTGCGCCGTCTCAGCGGCTGGGTCAAGACGACCGAGGGCAGGTTCGTTCAGCACGCCAAGCGCGTGAAGAAAATTGCTAGCGGCCACAAAGGGTCTCCTGGAGCAGTAGATCAGCAGAACAGCATCGACGAGTGGACATTCTTGGACAAGTCGTACCCTGAGACCCTGCATTGCGAAGCAGCCGAGCATGTGGCCGGCAACGGATCGCCGTTGGCAGCATCGACGCCAGGGAGCGCTGGCACAAAGCCGCCGCCGCCACCACCACAGATTCCGTTGCCACCGCCGCCATTTGCCGCTGACTTTGGTGCGTCCGATGCGGTCGATGATAGCGGGTTCGCATTTGATGGGGCAGCAGATATTGAACGCGAGCAGATGGAGGTCGATGCGCGCATGGAGAGCCGTCGCCAGAAGCGTGCTATGATGGGCCTCGGCGGCGAGCAAGAGCCGCTGTCTCCGGCTGCCCTGGCTTCGCCTCTAAAAGGGTCCTGTGCCGCTGGGTCGCCGTCCCCGTCGAAAAAGTCCCCGCGCCAGCAGCTTGACATTGACTCGGAGGAGGTTCTCGAGGAGCGCTACAAGTCGATCATCCAGCGTTTTGATGCGTTGCAGCTGATTGCGAATACAGTGCAGAACTCGCGTCTGGGGCTGTCTGAAGGCACGATGCGCCGGGTCAGCTCTGAAATCAACATCGTTATGGAGGGGCGTCGCCGGCGTCTGGAGGAAGCCCGCTCTGGCGGCAACACCACCAATGACCCGAGCCCACGCCGCACTGAGCACCCATTGAACCGCGCTACGAGTCCTGATTCATACACGTCCCCTGAACTAGAGGAGGGCTCATCATCAGAATTTGGTGCTGACGGCCAGGGTTTGCCGGGCGCCAATCGGTACTACGCGCTGACGAAGAAGCAGAACCCAGCGCAAGCTCTCAGCCGTCGCTCAATCAGCATGGACCCTCGTGAGATCAACCACGCACTGGCCGGTGCTCTTGGTGGGATGCAAGCAGCAGCTGGTGATAACCCGCCGTCGCCAACGCTTTCGATCAAGAGGTTGCCGAAAACGGACTCGGATTCCATGGACCTGGTCAAGGACCTGCTGTCAAGGTCGTTTTCCCCACCCGCGGGCGAGCCGACGCTGTCTCCATCTTCTGGGACTGTCGGCATGAAGCCAGCTTCGGTGTCCTTGCCCGAGACCACTGCCATGGACCCATTGCTATCGCCAGAAATCAAGGGAGCCAGCCACAATTCGGTTTCGCTCACAACTTCTCCGAGACAACAACGTGCCCGCCGCTGCTCAATCACCTCAGTGACATCATCAACGTCATCCATCAGCAAGTCGCCTGCTCGCATGGTCCGTCCGCCTAACAACGGCCGGAGCCGTGAGAGTTCCAGCTCTGAATCGGTCTTCCAGCCAGCAGCCAGCAACCGCAATGGGTCTCTGGGCCCGCGCAGTGGAACGCCGCTCAAGAATGCTGCCATTGATCTGCAGCACCTGACGCCCCAGGCAAACAAGACCGGCGGCATCCTGAAGGCTGGCCGCTCGAGGCGGTCGAAGCCGACGCGGCTGCACAACATTGCATCGGTGGCATCTTCGTTTGCTGTCAGCGGTGGCGACATGTTCTTCGCGAACTCTGAGACACCCGACACGCGTGAGGATTCGCTGGACTCCAGTCTGGCTAGGAGCATTGGCAGCCCGCTGCTCAAGGCTGGCCGCAGCTCGACCCTGCCTGTCATTGTCGATGAGGCAAAGCTTGCCAGCACTGCCGTCACGCCGCCGTCATCAAAGAACGGCAGCATGCCCCGGCACCCAAAGTCGTCGCAGTCCACGCGCAAGAGGGTGCGCTTCCCAGATGAGCTCCGCTTGCTCGAAAACATCCGCCTCATCAACCCGCAGGTTGCGCAGTTGCATGATGAGCGAGCTGCTGCTGCAGCGAGTGCGCGTGGCATCGAACACGAGGATGTCAACAGCCTTTCGCCGCTGGGCATATCGGCGCCCCGTGAGAAGCGCATGGGGTCGCCGCCGCCGCCGGCTTTCGATTTGTCCATGGCCCTGGATGCGGACGACGAGGATGATGGTCTGGTTTCGCGAATCAAGCACAGCCTGCGTAAGTCGGTACGGCAGTCAGCCGATTCGCTCGAGAACCGGGAGCACAGCCCGTCGCCGCCTCGATCTGGGAGCCCCGAAAAGTTTGTCACTGCGTCGTCTCTCCTAGTTGAGGAAGTGGCCGAAGCCCCCGTCGACTCTCCAACCAACCCTGCCACACACTCGTTTCAGCGCCAGCCAATCCCCTCGCAGCTGAGAGCACCTGTGTGCTTCGGTGGCACCACCGGTGACGAGTATTCGAGGTGCCTTGGTAAAGTGTCCATTGACAACTCGCCGTCGAGCCTGGCCAGCGCATTCGAACCTTGTTTGTCGCCATCGCCACCAGCCACAGACTCGCAGGCAGCGACACCTCAGTCCCAGTCTGTTAGCGGCCACAGCAGCCGCGGCACCTCCATGTCTTCGACCTTGTCGGCTTCATTAGCTGGCCTGGGCATGGACCAAGGTCGTGCCTCAATAACTACCACCGAGACCGACGGCTCATCCGTGGATCTGCCACTCAAAAAGAATAACCAAGGCATGCATGTTGGTCCCTAATGTCCCGTCGGCGCAGTCATCGCCGATGGGCAGCATGCCGCTGCAGCAAGGCACACCAGTCGACTACAACCTCGAAGTATGCCGCAGGGGACCTTCAGCTCTGCATACCGGTATACCACCGATATGATGGTATTTGGCGTTGAGCAGATTCCTGCCATTGCCCGCGGCAAAAACACTGCCATGTCTATTTTCCAGCAGGGCTCGGATACCGCTCACCAATAACTTATGCATATAGGCCTGTGAAATAAATATTAATGTGGACACCATGCTGTGTCAACCAAGAATTACAAGTACAACTATTGCAGATATGGCCATCCATGAAGTGCTGCTGAAAGAGGCGGCTAGTCCTACACAGCTGGTGCAACAATATCGAGAGGAGCAGGCAACGGTGTAATTATCTTGGTCATGTTTGGCTGGGGGTCGCGTGCAAGCGACATGGCGGGGTTCCTGGCTAGCGTCGATAGCCATAGCTGATGAGTCAAAAAGTCGAGAAAGTTAAAGGGCAAAGAGAGAAGAGAGCAGCAGCCTCTGGAGTCTGCAGCATGCACAGCGGCAGGAGGAGGGACGGGGGAGGGTAGGGCTGCTGGCTTTTCTTTTCGTGGCTGTGTGCTTGGTGTCGGCTGGAATCCCTGTTTTTCTTGCACCTCGTTGCGCGGCTGTCTGGCTCCCAAGCCTGCCTGCCTGCCTGCCTGGGGCTCTGTTTGGTCCAAGGCTTGCGCCAGCATGAACTGCCAGTGCGATAGAATGCGGATGCGTATCTGCATCTGCATCTGCTGCACGCGGTTTCTGGAATGGCTGGATTGCCGGATTGGACCAAGGTCTGCTTGCTTCGCACGAACCAACGCTGCCGTGCCTTCATTATTGCGCTGGGCTGCGACAGTCATAAACCGCCAGCATCAATTAGCCACCGCACAGACAATGTGCGCCGCTTCCGCCGCTGCGCATGATATGCCGTCGACAACCAGCCTGCGGTAGCAATAGGACCCAGTGTCCAAGCGTCTTTTTATTTGTGGTCAGTGGAACAATTAGCCACGGCCGCCGTCCATTCTAGCCCACCACCGGCACCGCCATGTACACAGGTCCCGTGTGAACAGGCTCGGTCGCCTCTGGGTCCAGCACCATCTGCTTCGACTCCTTGTAGCGCACAATGCAGTAGCTCTTCTCGACAAAGGAGCGCTGCGGATCGCACACGCACTTGCTGCGAATGTTTGGAGCCCGACGGACACTTTGCCACCGCCGGGTGGAAATATCCGATGTCCTCGAACCAGTGCGTCTGCGAGGCGTTGAGGAACAGGGCTGCTGCAATCGAATGCACCGGCGCATCGCCCCACCGCTCGTAGAAGAACCCGCCCGCGCGATCCAGATGCTGGAAGTACGCCTCGTACTCGGGGCGACCGGTAGAACGACAGGTCGACGATCTCAAAGTTTGTCCAGAAGTGGCAGCCGTTGTAGTTGCCGGCATCGTCCAGCAGCCAGCGCTTCAGGTTGGCGGGGCTCACCATTCCCGGGTGCTCGGCGATAAAGCCCATGGTCGTGTTCCACAGCGTCGCCACCGTGTCCATGAACTCGGTCATTCCAATGACCCAGCCGTACTTGAGCCCGTTCTCTTCATGAACACGAACGGGTCGTACTCCTGGTCGCAGAAGAACTCGACGTCGGGCTCGATGCGCCAGTAGAACTCGAGGTCGGCCAGCAGCGGGTGCTTGTGGATGAACCCGCTCTGGAACCGACACATCTTGCGGTAGCTGTCGCTGCCGCCGTGCGGGTAGCGCGCAGTCCTCTTTACCACCTCAAAGCGCTCGCGGTCGATCCACTCAGGCATGCCCCAGCTCTCGCTGTCGAGCTCGCCAAACGACACGTTGGCGCTGGTCAGGATGCGGACGCCTGCCTTGAACTCTTCTGTGAACGGCACGTCGTTGAGGAATATGTATGGGTAGTTGAAGCGCGAGTTGAAGCGGTCCTCGATCTGCCGGATCGTCTGCCGCATGCCGAGCAGGTCGGTGTTGCGCACCAGTGCGACCAGCGCAGCCTTGACCGGCTTCTGGCCGTGGGGGTGGTACTGGTCGAGGATTTCTTGTTCGCTGGCATGGTCCTCGTCCGGCGTCGTAGTCGTCGTAGAACTGCTCTGCCTCCTCGGCAGTGTTGTGGGCGAGATCGACTGGCACACACGCAGGCTGGGGCGTCGGCTGCGACAGCTCGTACTTTATCTGGCTGATTTCCTGCAGAGTCAGGTTCCGTGTGCCGGCAATGTACCCTGCCAGGATGCCGATAACGAGCGTTGGGAGGTATTTGAGGATGGCGCGGCGGTATCGTGAGCTGGTTGTCCTGGGCACAAACATGGCTGGGCAATTCTATGTGAAAACGAGCAAAAGGGCGGGGATACTGGGCAGATGGACAGCATCCGGTGCTGCACCAAGCAGGCTGCTCTGGTCTTATAGACCGCTGCTGGGCAGGCTAGTGGCAGTAGTAGCAGGGATGGGCTGGCGGCAGCAGTAGCCACCGCATTTGGGCCAGCATTCTTGGCTCTCGAGCTGGCATAGACGTCAGCTCAATCATCGAGCGCGATGCTGATCATCAGTCGCAGCGATCCCACTATGCCTAAACCACTTTCCTCTTGCGGGTAGCACTGGCTCGTGCCTCTCCTCTTCGCTCGTCCTCGCATTAGCCCAACCGGTGCATACCTGTACTTTTATAATTCACCATGTCCTCATTTGCCGCTCATGCACCGCGAAAGCGCCAGCCCGACATAGCCGCAGAGCCCGACAATGCAGTGAAGCGCCAACGCCAAGCTGACGTCGGGGACGCAGTAGCAATGGCCGACAGCGCCCTCTCCGCACCCACTACTGCCAATGCACCGGAGCCGGGTCAGCCTACACATGCTGATTGTATATGTGTATGGCAGATCGTACTCGGTTGGTATTGTCACACGAAATGTGATATACAAACTAGTTGCATCTTTTACCAGTGTGACACAATATATTTTCCTACACCCTGTTATACCAGCTGTCCCGCATTCGCGATTCGAGCCAGTCATTGCTGGTCAGGCATGGAGGCTGAAGCAGGTTCATCGGTGCGGATTGCTCGCAGCCGATATAGCAACAGACTAGATAGCTTGCTGCATAGCATTAAGGCGATACACGAATCCTTCGCTGAGCCAGGACAAAAGTTCAAAGAGCCTGCTCTTGGTGATAGGTAGGTCAGGAATGTGGTTAGTGCTGACATTTCTGCTTTGGCTCACTATTGCGGACAGCAGTTAGGTGCTCTGTGCGTGGTAAGATCGAGATCGAGCAGGCGAGATGTGCCCTCTTGCAGTGCATCATGACCTGCTTACAAAATCATTCGGTTGGTCGAGTATAGGAGGCTCTGGTGTTCTGCAGTGGTTCTGTCTTGCTATTTGTTTTGAGTGAGTAGTCGCCACCGCACTCAGGTTTCTGATGCACAGCTGTGACTTGGGCTCAACGCCAGAGTGTATTGCGGTCGGTGACCACACGGATTCGGATTTGGGTGCTGAATCAAGTATTAAAAACGAAAGAAATACTATGTTCTGCTTGACAAACTTCATCGGACTTGCGGGTATGTATTTTATATGGTTCTACTAGGCCTTACCCAGTGCTCAGCAGAGCTCTACTCGCTAGGATAGTCCTGGAATTTATCATGGTTCTTTGGCAAGACATTTCTCCTGCCGACATGTGTGTATTTCATTTCCTAAACTACTTTTCATGGGGGTTCACTATGCTGTACCCTCGGCTAGCGTACTGGATCAGCTGCCGCTTTTTCCACATTTGCTGGACTAATATATCCTTTGTTATGATACTGGTAACGTACCGTGGTATATAACTAGTGACAGTAAAGAAACTGAGGAGAGCTGCTGACGCGCTGGCGTGTACTGAACTATATAGTAGAGCTACTATACTCTTGCGTACGCACTGTGGCGTAGATCTAGGGATCAGGATCAGTTATACAACATCCTTCGTCCGAAAGCAATATTCCCATTCAATTACTCTGCATTACGGAACACATCCTCTTAGTATTATACACGGATCAATATGAAATGCCAAGGTGAACAGAAGTGCATATGATGGGACTGTTGACCCACTAGTCAACAGTTTTCATAAAAGACGAATGGAACATGGCTACCACTAGAACTGAGCCCAAAGGCACATGAGGTATATACCACATGCCCTACTAAAAGCCTGCCAGCTTAAATGTGAGCACACCTCTATCGGAACCAAACACTGCATGTCTCAAATTGAGGTGAGGACTGCCGATATCTGTAGCCTACTCTGCTCTGCATTGCGCACTCTGCCCAGGCATGTAATATCTCTTGTACAAGCTCTTGATGGCGGTCTTTTCGAGAACCCAAAGCCGTCTGGTGCTAGCATAGCGTGAAAAATGAATGTGTGTGCGAGGGAGGACTTGTGTGAGAAAACTATCAGAAAATTAGATTACTTCTCCTCACCCTTTTCCTATTCTTTCCTTTTTATTCTCGAATCGGTCCAGTCTTTGGTTTGGTCTCTTTGCTTCCTTTTTTTTTTTTCGCCAACTCCCTATTAATCTCTCTAAGACTACCTTGGTTTGTCTCCTTTCTCCAATATATTCTTTACTTGGGTGCTACAGCCCGACCAAACTTAATAGCTCGTAACCTCAAACAAAAACAAAGTATTGTGTGCTTGCAAGACGAATCATGCATCTCTGTGGTGGGGCTCAGAGAAGCGTGAATCGATTTAGCCAATCAGAAGCGCTCTTGCAGACAGATGGACACCTTTAGACCATCAAATCTTACATAGAGATGTGGCTGGCTCATATCATGATTGACAACAAGAAATTGCCAGACCCCAGGTAAAACCACATACTATTATATATATGAGTGTTTTCAAGAGAGACCTACTGTTGAGGATCCTTGCCGCTTGCATATAGCAATTTACTTCTCAAGTACGTCAGGGTCTACTTCTGCTGCGACAAACCATTATATACTAAATCACAATAATGGCTCAGCGTATCAGCGTATTTCGTCTCGCTCTCAAATGGTAAGGGTATGCTGGTTTCTAGCGGTCACATTGGTTGGCACCGAGTAGGCGGGATGCCATCTAATAATCCGACTAGTCAGATTGCTTAGAGATGTCAGCATCACTGCCTGACATGGCGATGGCTGCAGCAAGCTGGGCGATCCGTCCCCAAATCGCGCAGTCTTTCGACAAAGCAACTGCAATGCTAATCCACTATTCCACGACATGCAATGGCGCCATTGGCGCTGAGAGTAGTCATTTTTTCTTTTACCTGGAAGTATACCCTAGTTGCAGGGAAATGCGCACAGTGATGCGCCTTGCAACGGTGCTGGTGCTTTGTGGGTACCGTTGGGAATGTGTCAGCGGCTGCAGCTAGAGAAGTAGTCTATAAAACCGAAGCATGGCGGCCACTTTGCTCCTTTCAGCTTGTGCACCATCCTCTTTATTCGAGGTTTCTCCCAAATTGTTTTTAATTTGTACTCTTATTTGCATGTATTTCCACCGATATCTAAATAATGGCGACTGGCCAAGCAGAGCAGTGGCTGGGATTAATGTCTACATGCTCGTATTCCTCGCAATTGCTATGGCCACCTCAGCCAAGCCCATGTGGAATACAGGTAAAGCACCAGCATCATTATGCGCAGACCAGGTGTGTTCAGTATAGCCATGTATTAATAGCTGCTTGACGTTGTAGTTAACAAGTATCAAGCCAATGGCGATCTGTGCCCAGCGCAGCTGAACCAGAACAGACCCTGTCCCGCAATCTGTGTTTATGATCTCGCCGAATGTCCGCGTCCCGTGACATGCCCTGATAACCAGGTGCTATGCCATGACGGCCTGTGTCATGACTCATGCACTGCCGACGTCAACATGGCTAACCCATGTACCTGCAGCTGGAGACCCAGTGCTGTGCCGACAGCGGCAAGGGATCTGATTCCATGCCCATTGCTTAAAAATGTAACTATCTCGCAGCTGCACCTGTGGAACGCGACGAACCAGGTCCGGGATGCATGCAATGCCGATGCGCAGATCAGCAACCCAAGCAGCTTTGGTATCTGGGGAAAATCAGTGGCCGCGGCGCACACGCGACGAGTCTGGCGTACGGGGCGTCTGGGTCCAGTGCCCGAAGGAGCCGCAGCTCATGTATACATTCCGCGAACCCATGTGGATATGTGTGTTTACGATTCTACTCGGTTACGTCGGATTGCTCGGTATTTGGTATGCGGTAAAGCTACTCAGCGAGCGTAATATAACTAGTGCACTCGACAGCAAGGCTAGTCCAAGCGATTCGGGGACCAACATCGACACCAAGGCACTGAAGGTTGCGGTTGGCGATCATGAGGGAGGCGAATTCAGCAGCAGCAATATTCGTCTGAGCGGCTATCGCAACAACGTCTTTGGCACAGCGATGAACTGGGGACTGCTGGCGCTGGGCGTAGTTTGGCTCGGCTACCTATTGGCGCTTTCAGCAGATTTTTACGGCAGCGTACCGGGAATCGCTCCTGGAGCGGCCTGTGTTCTTTCGCTGGGGGACTGCACGCTCGGCAACCAGACATTCATCGTGATGTGGTGCCTGTATGTGTTCATGGTCGTGACCTGCAATGTGTTCCGTCACCGCCTGCGCAACTTCTTCCGCATCAAGACAGCACCAGCGGAGGGCACATTTGTATGTGTTGAGCGCAAGATTGACTCGCAGATAATGCTGCAAAACGAGCGCAGCTTCTTGGTCGACAATGTGCGCCGGGTAGCCAACATACTGAAGCACCATTTGGGCTGGACGTGGTCGGGTAAATACATCGCGGCAGCACATTACCGCGCACGGCCGCAAGTACTTTACATACCAGTGCACTCGCTTTGTGCTTGACCAGACCACTGGCGAGTACACACCGTACACTTTTGATCTGGGAGCCACGAACAGCGACCTTGTCGCCAACAGCCCTGGCCTATCGACGGCAGAGGCCGAGTATCGGATGGAACTGGTCGGGCAAAACTTCATTGAGGTGTCAGTTCCCAACTGGTTCTTTGCATTCCTGCGCGAGGTCACCAGCTTCATTGCATTGTACCAGCTTCTGGCGCTCTTGCTGTTCATCTATGACTTTTACTGGCAGGCGGGCATTGTCGATCTGGGGATTGTGCTGCTGGCGATGACATTCAGTACTGTTGTGCGCAAGCTGTCTGAGGAGCGGCTCAAGCGCATGGCTGAGCAGGACGACCAAGTGAATGTGCGTCGCAACGGTGACTGGGTGCAGGCATCGTCACGCGATCTTGTCCCAGGCGACGTCATCCAGCTAACCACCGGCATGCACATGTCATGCGACTGCATTCTGATTTCTGGAAATGCTGTCGTCAACGAGTCATCGCTGACTGGCGAGCCCCTGCCCGTGCGCAAGTTCCCGCTGCATAATGATGACACACCGTTCAACGTCGAGGCCAACAAGAAACAACCAGCTGTATGCTGGCACAGTGATCAGCCAGGCGCAGGCGATCGAGAAATCGGCTGGCGACATTTTGGCCGACCAGCACGTGCTTGGGCTGGTGCACCGCACCGGCACGGCTTCCGACAAGGGTAAGCTGGTGCGCAAGATCCTGTTCCCGCAGCCGCTGTCGTTTATTTTCAACGAGCAGCTCAAGGTAGTGTTCAGTATTCTGATCGTCTACGCGCTATTCTGCATGGGCATGGCGATATATCTGTACAAGGGGTCGCCGACAGCGGTGTTCTTTTACGGAAACTTTTGCATGCTACAGGCTGTATCGCCGCTACTGCCTGCTGGTCTGGTTGCAGGCCAGTCGATGGCGGCATATCGGCTGAAGAAGAAGCGCATATTCTGTGTCGACCCGCAGCGCATCATGATGGCCGGCAAGGTGCAGATATTCTGCTTCGACAAGACCGGCACCCTGACCAAGGAGGGTCTGGAATTCTACGGCGGCCAGTGCGTGGATGGCAATGCCTTCCAGGGATTTGAGAACGCCTTGCCTAACACCAGTATTTTGTTCCAGCAAGCCGTTGCCAGCTGCCATGCTGTTACCGATCTTAATGGGCAGCTAATCGGCAACCCTGTCGACATCGAGCAGTTCCGTGCGTCGAACTCTACGATCGATCCAGCCCCCAAGTACCTTGATACTATCATCCCTGCTGGCGGCTCGTCCTTGGGCAAGCTGCATGTCGTCCGTCGCTTCGAGTTTGTCCATGCCCGTGCGTCCGATGTCAGTCGTTGTCATGGATGAGATGACTGGTAAAACTGCATGTCTTTGTCAAGGGCTCGTTTGAGCGCATCAAGCAGGTCTCAAACAGCGCTTCCGTGCCGTTGGATTACGACAGGACTTGTGCTGGGCTGGCGCGCGAGGGCTGCTATGTTCTGTCGATTGCGCACAAGCAGCTGGATGTGACTCTGGAAGGGCTCAAGGATCTGACCCAGGACGAGATCGAGGGCAACTGCGATCTGATCGGCCTGCTGGTGTTCAAGAACCTGCTCAAGAACGACACATCTGATGCTATTGCTGAGCTCAAGCATGGGTCCACTCGCACGGTCATGGTCACTGGTGACACTGCGCTTACCGGCGTGTACATTGCGAGACAGTGCGGCATGGTGCCAGCCAACAGCAAGGTCCTACTTGGCGACATGGACAAGAAAACGCATATGCTGGTGTGGACTGACGTCGACACTGACGAGGAGGTGGCCGACATTGGGCCTTTATTGACCGAGCTTGGCAGCGACGGATATCCGACCACAGAGCTAGCCCTGACCAGCGCCGCCTTCCAGCACCTGGAATCGACCAGTGGACTGGCGGAGATCCTGCTTAACACGCGCATTTTTGCGCGCATGAAGCCCAACGACAAGGTGCGGTGCGTGCAGCAGCACATGGTTCACGGTATCACGGCTATGTGTGGTGACGGTGGCAACGACTGCGGGGCATTGCGAGCGGCCCATGTTGGTCTGGCACTGTCGGATGCCGAGGCATCGATTGTATCGCCGTTCTCGTCCAGCAACCGGTCGGTGCACTCGTGTGTAGAGCTCTTGCTCCAGGGCAGAGCCGGCCTGGCTAGCAGCTTCAGCAACTATCGCGCACTGATTCTGTATGGCACCACGATGACAATGACCAAGCTGGTGAGTTTTTATTTCGCGCTGAGCATGTCGCAGCCCATCTGGATGATAATCGATGCCCTGGTGGCTACCAGCATGGCCATCACGGTCACGTTCCTGCCGCCAGCCAAGAGGCCTCTCGCCGTTCCGCCCTACGGCACGGATATTGGGCCCGAGATCATGTCGTCAGTTATTGGTGTCGTTGTCATCAACTGGGTGTTTATTGGTGGGGCGCGTGGGTGTGGCTGTTCAGGCAGCCGTGGTTCCCGGGTGCCACGAGTTTTGACGCATCGAACACGAACGTGCTGAAATGGTGGGCTGCTGGGCGGACAACCTACGAGGCGGCCATGATGACATACCTGATCATGTACATGTTCATCAACAACGGGTTCTTGGTCAACTACGGGTATGTGCACCGGAAGCCGTGGTTCCACCAACCCAAGCTTGATAGCGGTGTGGCGGGGCTAATTATCATGATTTCGTATGCGCAGCTGGCACCGCCCAGCAGGCTGTCGTGTACGTTCCGGCTCAACTGCGGCGACCCAGACAGGCTGGTCGGGATGGGATATGGGCGGCCCAGGGTGGGAAATCGAAAAGTACAATGCGGTGGATGGGCACAACATCTTGCCTTCTGATTTCAAGTGGAAGCTGTGGGTGTATTCGATCGGCAATGTGGTAGCAACCAATGCGTGGCAGACTGTGGTTGTTTACGGGCCAGTGCGCACATGGCTCCGCAGGAAGCGCCCGCTGCGGGAGGCTCAAGCTCAAGCTCTGAGGGATATTTTTTTCTCACGTCCATGCATTCATGACGCAAACCAAACAATCACATTCTGGCTCTCTCCTGCTGAGTACAATCGTATTTTTCTGTTTGACATTATATAATAGTCCCCCTATTCCCGCCTCCCCAAATTCCCACCCTCAAATTCCCACACCCAATTCCCACCCCCCACCACTCTTTGTCTCTTATGTTTTCCAAACTTTCGAATTTCAACCCCCTTGCGCTTGGGCTACAGCCACTCCGAAAGACATTCGCACTCGTCACGTCCGTCCTCATGGTCACCAGCAACCTCTCCACTGCGTCCTCCAGCGGGCTCACGGTCAAGCAGCGTCTGTCCAACTACAGGCCGACGGAGCTGCGCGCCGACCTCTCGCACCTGACCGGAGGGCGACAAGCGCGCACTGGTGAAGCTGGCAGACGTCTCGGACCTGCTCAACGCTGCGTACTTTAAGCAGATCTGGGCAGGCGCTCCGGCGATGCGGCAGAAGCTGCAAGCAGGCAAGGCCAGATAGCGAGGAGGCAAAAGATCTGGCAAACACTGGTTCGAACTGTTCCCGTGGGCCGTGGGACCGCAGCCTCGACAACGAGGTATTTGTGCCGGGCGCTACAGCCAAGCCAATCACGGCCAATGTGTATCCCGGAAGACATGGATAAGAAGGAGTTTGAACTGTGGCTCGGAACGCTTAGCGAGAAGACAAGGCGCGCGCCAAGGGGTTCTACGATGTCGTGAAAAGAGATAAAAAAGTGCAAGGCTGGTGCTCAGTAGATATGCGGACGAGTACCGGGAGTTCCTGGCGCCGGCGGCCAGGCTGATGCAGGAGGCAAGCACGCTGGTCAGCGATAAGAGCTTTGGCGAGTTCCTGCGCATGGCGCGGCAAGCGGCTTCCTGAGCAACAAGTACCTGGGACTCGGAGGTGTTCGTGGCTGAAAATCAACCACACCAGCGCGCTGGAGGCCGCTGTGGGGCCCTACGAGACGTACGAGGACGAGCTGTTCTCGTCCAAGGCGTTCTTCGAGTCAATGGTGCATGTGCGCGACTTTGCTGCTACGCAGCTGCTGGACAAGTTCACCAGCAGCTGGAGCTGGTCGAGAAGAACCTGCCGATCCCGGATCGTACCGCAACAAGGAGCTGGTGGCGCCGCCAATCGTGGTGGTCAACCAGGTGTACTATGGCGGCGACACGGCGGTGCCGATGACGGCGGCGTATAATCTGCCCAACGACGAGGAGGCGATGACGCGCGGGCTCCAAGCTGACCATGATCAAGAACGTGCAGGAGGGCAAGGTGGCCAGCGTGCTGCGGCCGATTGCTCAGGAGGTGCTGAGCAAGGCGGATCTGGATTACGTGACATTCCCAGCCTTCTTCACCCACGTGCTCATGCACGAGGTCGCGCACTCGAACGGCCCGCACCGCGACACCAGCGGGGCGACAGTGCGCAGCCGGCTGCAGGAGCTGCACTCGGCGTTCGAGGAGGCCAAGGCGGACATCACGGGCTTGTTT